GGGGTGTATGGGGGCTATGGGGTCTATGGCATCTATGGGGTGTATGAGTTATATGGGGTCTATGGGGTGTATGGGGCCTATGCGGTCTATGGGGCCTATGGGCTCTATGGGGCACCCACACCCATTCTCCCCCCATATCCCAGGGGTCTCCGCCTCGTCGTGGGCGAGTCCAACCTGCAGGAGGCCGAGGGCACGGAGCAGCCCCGCCTGGTGGCCAAGGCCATCCCGCACCCGACCTTTGACCCCCGCACCCTGGACAATGACCTCCTGCTCCTCAAGCTGCAGCGCCCCGTGGGGCTGAGCCGCGCCGTGCGCCCCCTGCCGCTGCCCCGCGCCTGCGCCCCCCCCGGCACCACCTGCCTGGTGTCGGGCTGGGGGACGGTCACCTCGCCGCAGGGTGAGATGGGGGCAGTGGGGAGACATGGGGGGCCTATATTAGACCTACAGTAAACCTATAGTAAACCCATAGTAAACCCATAGTAAACCCATAGTAAGCCTGTAGTAAGCCCGTAGTAAACCTATAGTAAACCCGTAGTAAACCCATAGTAAACCTATAGTAAATCCATAGTAAGCCTGTAGTAAACCCGTAGTAAACCTGTAGTAAGCCTGTAGTAAGCCCGTAGTAAGCCTGTAGTAGGGTTAGAGTAAGGGCCCCCGGGACCACCTGCCTGGTGTCGGGCTGGGGCACCGTCACCTCGCCGCAGGGTGAGATGGGAGGCAGGCAGTGGGGACACATGGGGGCCTATATTAGACCTATAGTAAACACATAGTAAGCCTATAGTAATCCCATAGTAACCCCGTAGTAAGCATATAGTAACCCCATAGTAAGGCTATAGTAACTCCGTAGTAAGCACATAGTTACCCTATAGTAACCCCATAGTAAGCCTATAGTAACTCCATAGTAAGCCCATAGTAACCCCATAGTAAGCTTATAGTAAATCCATAGTAAGCCTATAGTAAGCCTGTAGTAAGGGTAGAGTAAGGGCCCCTGGCACCACCTGCCTGGTGTCGGGGTGGGGAATGGTCACCACGCCGCAGGGTGAGATGGGGGTCAATGGGGAGACATGGGGGGCCTAGAGTAAACCCATAGTAAACCTATAATAAACCCATAGTAAACCCATAGTAAACCTATGGTAAACCCATAGTAAACCTATAGTAAAGCCATAGTAAACCTATAGTAGACCTATAGTAGGGTTACAGTAAGGGCCCCAGGCACCAGCTGCCTGGTGTCGGGGTGGGGGACGGTCACCACGCTGCAGGGTGAGACTGGGGAGTCAGTGGGGAGCCATTGGGGGACCTGGAGTAGGGCCATAGTAAGGCCCCCCCATTGCCTCTGAGCAACCCATGAGCAACCCATGAGTAACCCACGAGCAACCCACGAGCAACCCATGAGCAACCCATGAGTAACCCATGACCAACCCATGAGCAACCCATGAGTAACCCATGAGCAACCCATGAGTAACCCATAAGCAACCCATAACTAACCCATGAGTAACCCACAAGTAACCAACAAGCAACCCATGCATAACCCCCGAATACCCCCATAGTAACTCCCGAGTACCCCCATAGTAACCCCCGAGTACCCCCATAGTAACCCCATAGTAACCCCTGAGCACCCCCATAGTAACCCACGAGCACCCCCATAGTAACTCCATAGTAACCCCCGAGTACCCCCATAGTAACCCCATAGTAACCCCTGAGTACCCCCATAGTAACCCATGAGCACCCCCATAGTAACCCCATAGTAACCCATGAGTACCCCCATAGTAACCCCATAGTAACCCATGAGTACCCCCATAGTAACCCCATAGTAACCCCATTGTAACCCCATAGTAACCCCATTGACACCCCATAGTAACGCCATTGTAACCCCATAGTAACCCCATTGACACCCCATAGTAACGCCATTGTAACCCCATAGTAACCCCATAGCAATGCCATTGTAACCCCATAGTAACCCCATTGACACCCCATAGTAACCCCATAGTAACCCCATAGTAACCCCATAGTAACCCCATAGTAACCCCATAGTACCCCATAGTAACCCCATAGTAACCCCATAGTAACCCCTGAGTAACCCCATAGTAACCCCATAGTAACCCATGAGCACCCCCATAGTAACCCCATAGTAACCCATGAGCACCCCCATAGTAACCCCATAGTAACCCCATAGTAACCCCATAGTAACCCCATAGTAACCCCATACTAACCCCCTATATCCCATAGTAACCCCATAGTAACCCCATAGTAACCCCATAGTAACCCCATAGTAACCCCATAGTAACCCCATAGTAACCCCATAGTAACCCCATAGTAACCCCATAGTAACCCCATAGTAACCCCGAGTACCCCCATAGTAACCCCATAGTACCCCCATAGTAACCCCATAGTAACCCCCGAGTACCCCCATAGTAACCCCACAGCACCCCCACAGCACCCCAAGACCCCCTTCAACCCCCCCATCCCCGCAGTGACCCTGCCCCGCCACCTCATCTGCGCCTACGTGCACATCCTCCCCGACGCCGCCTGCCGCCGGGCCTACCCGCAGCGCGTCACTCCCAACATGCTTTGCGCCGGGGTGCGCAACCAGCGCATCGACTCATGCCAGGTAATGGGGGGGGGGGGGACCCCAAAACCCCGCCCCCCCAAACCCATCCCCTCCTTCCCCACCAATGGGGTGCCCTGAAGCATCGCGCACCCCCTAAATGTGGGGTGCCCCCCCTAAATGGGGTGCCCCCCATTAACTATGGGATGTGCCCCGTTCCCCCCCTCTTTAGGGTGATTCTGGGGGGCCCCTGTCCTGCAATGGGACCCTCCAGGGCATCGTGTCCTGGGGGCTGCAGACCTGCGCCCTACCGGGGCGCCCCGGGGTCTACACCCGGGTGTGCAACTACGTGCGGTGGATCGAGGACACCATGAACCGCAACTAGGACACGGCGAGGACATGCTAAGGACATGTTATGGACATGCTAAGGGCACGCCGAGGACATGCTAAGGACATGCTAAGGACACGCCAAGGACATGTTAAGGACATGCTAAGGAAACGCTAAGGACGTGCTAAGGACATGCTAAGGACACGCTAAGGACACACTCAGGACACACTAAAGACACGCTAAAGAGACACTAAGGACATGCTAAGGACATGGTAAGGACACGCTAAGGACACGCTAAGAACGCGCCAAGGATGCGCCAAGGACATGCTAAGGACACAGCAAAGACACGCCAAGGACATGCTAAGGACACACTAAGGACATGCTAAGGACATGCTAAGGATGCGCTATGGACGCGCCAAGGACACGCTAAGGATACGCCAAGGACATGCTAAGGAGACGCTAACGACATGTTAAGGACATGCTAAGGACACACTAAGTACATGCTAAGGACGCGCTATGGACATGCTAAGGACACACTAAGGACGCGCCAAGGACACGCTAAGGACACACCAAGGACGCACTAAGGACATGGGACATGGATAAGGACCATTATGGACCACCATGGACCACAAGGACACAGACCTGGACCACCATAGACCAACACCATAGACCACTATGGACCACCATAGACCACTATGGACCACCACAGACCACTATGGACCACCACAGACCACCATGGACCACCATAGACCACTATGGACCATCATAGACCACTATGGACCACCATAGACCACTATGGACCACAAAGGGGGGGGGAAAGGACCAATAAAGCCGAAGCAAAGCCCACATTGACCCCATCTCCGTGCCCCATTGAACCCCTTCAGGTGCCCCCCAAACCCCCTTGAGATGCATCTGGATGGGGTCACCCCATAGAAGCCTTTATTGGAAGCTGGGGGGCAATGGGGGGCCCACCTCAAAGCAAAGGGGAGTGTGATGATGGAGGAGCACCACGCCTCCATCTGATTGGCCAACCCCATCCACGTGACCCCACCGCTGTAACCAATGAGACGAGGCCGTAGCTCAACCCCGCACCCATCAGGGCTGCGATTGGTGGAGCGAAGCCACCTGAGATGTGGTGGGACCCAAAGCCCACGTCCTCACCTCCAGTGCTTCCAGTTCACCCCATTGGGAGCAGCTCCCTTCCCATTCACCCCTCTTTAACCCCCCCCAAAACCAGCTCCAAAATGGGGTGCCCCCCATAACCATTGCCCGCTATACTGGTTTTGATGGGGTTACATGCTGGTGGTACTGGTGGTTACTGGTGGAGGGTGGAAATGGGTCTCCTTGAAGACGAACCAAGAGCCCCCCAGCCAAAGGATGAGGTTGAGGAACCCAAAGACCTGCATAGGGGAGGAAGAGGATGGAGATGAAGCTCTTAAGGAGGCCCCCACCCCATTGGGGTACCCCCATTGTCCCCCCATTGTCCCATTGTGACCCCCATTGTATCCCCAGTGTGCCCCCATTGTGCCCCCATTGTTCTCCCCATTGTGCCCCCCATTGTGCCCCCATTGTGCCCCCATTATCCCCCCCATTGTGCCCCCACTGTCCCCGCATTGTGTACCCCTTGTACCCCCCATTGTACCCCCATTGTGCCCCCCATTGTTCCCCCATTGTACCCCCATTGTGTCCCCATTGTATCCCCCATTGTGCCCCCATTGTGCCCCCCATTGTGCCCCCATTGAGCCTCCCATTGTCCCCCCATTGTGCCCCCATTGTACCCCCATTGTGCCCCCATTGTGCCCCCCATTGTGCCCCCATTGTGCCCCCCATTGTGCCAATGAGCCCCCATTGTGCCCCCATTGTGCTCCCATTGTGCCCCCATTGTGCTCCCATGTGCCCCCATTGTACCCCCATTGTGCCCCCATTGTGGCCCCCATTGTGCCCCCATTGTGCCCCCCATTGTGCCCCCCATTGTGCTCCCATTGAGCCCCCATTGTGCTCCCATTGAGCCCCCATTGTGCCCCCCATTGTGCCCCCATTGCACCCCCATTGTCCCCCCATTGCCCCCCCATTGCCCCCCATTACAGCACCCACCACAGACACATTGAGGGCCCCCATAGGGGTGGGGGTGTCCCGGGTGCAGGTGACAACGGGGGGGTGGCAATGGGGCAATGGGGCCATCACCGAGGCCTTGAGGTCCGCCAATGCCTTGGCCCAAGCCGAGGAGGCCACCAGCCATAGGAAGGAGAAGGCCGCCGTGGCCAGGAAGTCCTATAGGGGATAATGGGGGAGATGAGGGCATCCTATGGGGTACAATGGGGGTTATGGGGTGCATAGGGCCCCAAATGGGGTCAGCGAGGCTTACCCTGGGTCCTGGTTATGGCAGCACAAGGGGAGAGCAATGGGAGGTTATGGGGTGGCCCCAGTAGGTACCAGTGCCCATGGGGTACCCCTGTCAATGGGAGGTGGGAAGGGGTGGGGGGGGTGGAGTAAAGGGGGTGGCCAATGGGAAGGGGGGAGAGGGGGTGGGTGGTGATTGGGTGGATGGATGGATGGTGATGGATGATGATTGGATGATGATTGGGTGCATGGATGATGGTGATTGGATGGATGGATGATGGATGATGATTGGATGGATGCATGATGATGGATGATGATTGGATGGATGAATGATGATTGGGTGGATGGATGATGATGGATGATGATTGGATGGATAGATAGTAGTTGGATGATGATTGGATGATGATGAATGAAGGTTGGATGATGATTGGATGGATGGGTGAATGATGGATGATGTATGGATGATGTATGGATGATGATTGGATGGATGACGGATGTATGGATGATGGATGATGATTGGATGAATAGATGATGATGGATGATGATTGGATGGATGGATGATGATGGATGATGATTGGGTGAATGGATGGATGATGGATGATGATTGGATGGATAATGGATGATGATGGATTGTGATTGGGTGAATGGATGATAACGATTAGATGGATGGATGACAGATGGATGATGATTGGATAGATAGATGATGATGGATGATGGTTGGACGGATAGATGATGACTGGATCATGATTGGACAAATGAAGATTGGATGACGATTGGACACCACCAGCCCAACCCCAAACACCCATTGCTCCCCAACACATCTCAAACCCCACCCCCCAACCCCCGCCCTCCCATTGGCCACACGCACAACCCTCACCCCCAATTGGCCGCCCCCAAACCACCCCCAACCAATCAACGCCCCCCAACTGACCACTAGGGGCAGCTTGCCCCCCGTGCCCCTATAGAGGTGCAGGTAGCCCAGGTAGAGCAGGAGCGAGCCCAGGCTGTAGAGGAAGGAGAAGACGGCGACGACCACGAAGAACTGGGCCGAGGAGGAGAAGTCCCCAATGAGGTGGACGTCAGAGGCCCAGGTGTGGTTACAGAGGGTGGGCAAGGAGGGCGTGAATGGGGCCAGGTTGAGCCTATGGGGAGATGGGGTCAATGGGGGTCAATGGGGATGGGGTCAATGGGGGGAGATGGGGTCAATGGGGGTCAATGGGGAGATGGGGTCAATGGGGAGATGGGGTCAATGGGGATGGGGTCAATGGGGAGATGGAGATGGGGTCAAGGTGTGGTTACAGAGGGTGGGCAAGGAGGGCGTGAATGGGGCCAGGTTGAGCCTATGGGGAGATGGGGTCAATGGGGTCAATGGGGGGAGATGGGGTCAATGGGGAGATGGGGTCAATGGGGATGGGGTCAAGGTGTGGTTACAGAGGGTGGGCAAGGAGGGCGTGAATGGGGCCAGGTTGAGCCTATGGGGAGATGGGGTCAATGGGGAGATGGGGTCAATGGGGAGATGGGGTCAATGGGGAGATGGGGTCAATGGGGGATGGGGTCAATGGGGGTGGGGATGGGGTCAATGGGGGTCAATGGGGATGGGGTCAAGGTGTGGTTACAGAGGGTGGGCAAGGAGGGCGTGAATGGGGCCAGGTTGAGCCTATGGGGAGATGGGGTCAATGGGGATGGGGTCAATGGGGGTGGGGTGGGGTCAATGGGGGGCTGGAGGTGGGGTCAATGGGGATGGGGTCAATGAGGGGTGGGGATGTGGTCAATGGGGGGATGGGGTCAAGGTGGGGATGGGGTCAATGGGGGGTAGGGATGGGGTCAATGAGGGGGTGAGGTCAATGGGGGGATGGGGTTGGGGTCAATGGGGGGATGGGGATGGGGTCAAGGAGGGGATGGAGACGAGGCTCCGCCCCCTCCCTGCCATCAGCCAATCAGAGCCGGGGGGCGTGGCCTCACCGGAAGGGGTAGGCGAAGGGGGCGCTCACGGAGGTGTTGGGGCTCCCGGCGCAGCTGAGGCGGAAGCGGACGGAGCCCTGGAACCCCCCGAGGGTGGCGAAGGCGAAGACGGAGAAAAACTGGGGGGAAAAGAGGGGAAAATGGGGAAAAATGGGGAAAAATGGGGAATTCTGACCCAAAACCTGCGTGGGATGGGGTCAGCCTGAAAAAACGGGGAAAAACGAGGTAAAAATGAGAAAAAATGAGCCAAAAATGGGGGAAAAAGAGGGAATTCTGACCCAAAACCTGTGTGGGATGGGGTTATCCCAAAAAAACGGGGGAAAACGAGCTAAAAATGGGGAAAAATGAGCCAAAAATGGGGAAAAACGAGCTGAAAATGTAAAAATGACCCAAAAATGGGGAAAAACGAGCCAAAAATGGGAAAAAAGGAACCAAAAATGGGAAAAATGAGCCAAAAATGGGGAAAAATGAGCCAAAAATGGGGAAAAACGAGCCAAAAATGGGGGTTTGGGGGTCAAAATGAGAAAAAGAGGTAAAGGTGGGAAAAGTGGGAATTCTGCCCCAAATCCTGCCTGGAATGGGGTTACCCTGAAAAAATGGGGGAAAATGAGCTAAAAATGGAGAAAAACAAGCTAAAAATGTGAAAAATGAACCAAAAATGGGAAAAACGAGCCTAAAATAGGAAAAAAGGAGCCAAAAATAGGGAAAAAGGAGCCAAAAATAGGGAAGAACAAGCCAAAAATGGTGATTTTGGGGTCAAAATAAGAGGAAAAAGGGTTAAAGGTGGGAAAAGTGGGAATTCCAGCCCCAAATCCTCCCTGAAATGGGGCTCCCCCTAAAAAATGGGAAAAAACAAGGAAAAAATGGGGAAAAACAAGCTAAAAATGGGGAAAAATGAGCCAAAAATGGGGAAAAAAAACCAAAAATGAGAGAAAATGAGCCAAAAATAGGGAAGAAGGAACCAAAAATACGAAAAATGAGCCAAAAACGGGGAAAACGAGCCAAAAATAAGGGAAACGAAGCCAAAAGGAGGAAAACCAAGCCAAAAATAGGGAAAACGGAACCAAAAATATGAAAAATGAGCCAAAAATGGGGAAAACGAGCAAAAAATGGGGGAAAACAAGCCAAAAATGAGAGAAAATGAGCCAAAAATGGTGTTTTGGTGGTCTAAATAAGGAGGGGAAAGGTTTAAAGGTGGGAAAAGTGGGAATTCTGCCCCAAATCCTGCTTGGAATGGGGTTCCCCCTACAAACTGGGGGAAATGAACTAAAAATGGGGTTTTGGGGTAAAAATGGGTCAGAAAACAACATTTTGGGGAATTTGGAGGTGGGATTTGGGATTTCTAAGGGGGATTGATGGGAAAAAAAGGAATTTTGGGGAAAAATGAAATGGGTAATAGATCAAAAATGTGAGATTTGGGGATTTCAAATAAGAACTGCTAAAAGAAATGGGCATTTTGGGAAAATGGGAACAGAAAATGAGATTAAAAACGGGTATTTAGGGAATTCCTCAGTGCAGCTTCAATTTTACAGCTAGAAATGATAGGAAAAGCGGGAATACTGAGAGCTAAAAACCCCCAAAAATGGTGAAAATCACCGCAAACGACCCAAAATGGGGAGTTTGGGGTAAGGTCGAGGCAGAACAAGGAGGAAAAGGCGCAAGGGGGGGCCTGGGATTTTGGCATTCCCAATGGGAACCAATGGGAATGGGAATTGGTCCTCACAGCCCCCCCTTCCCCTCTTAGGCCCTTGTAGTCCAACCCAATCCCATCCCATCCCCATCCCCATCCAATCCCATCCAATCCCATCCAATCCCATCCCCATCAGATCCCACCCCGTTCCTGTTCCTATTTCCGTTCCCATCCCCACCCCATTCCCATTCTGTTCCTGTTCCCATGCCCCTTACCATTTCCATCCCCACTCCCATCCCATTCCCACTCTCATCCCATCCCCATCCCCAACCCCATCCGCATCCCATCCCTGTTCCCATTCCCATTCCTGTTCCCATCCCTTTCCCATCCCCATTTATGTTCCCATTCCCATCCCATTCCGATCCCGTTCCCATCCATGTTCCGTTCCTGGTCCTATTCCCATGCCTGTTCCCATCCCCATCCCCATCCGATCCCATCCCGTTCCCATTTCCATCCCCATGCGGTTCCCATTCCCATTCGCATCCCATCCCCATCCTGTTCCCATCCCATTCCCATCCCCACCCCATCCCATCCCCGTTCCATTCCCATTTCCGTTCCCATTCCCGTCCTCTTCCCATCCCCATCCCATCCCCATTCCCGTCCCCTCTCGTTCCCGTTCCCATCCCCGTTCCCGTCCCCGTTCCCCGCTCACCCCCTGCAGGGCCCGGATCAGCCCCAGGGGTTCTCGGGCCGGGCCCAGGTCCCACCGCGGAGCCGCCATCTTCCCCCCGCGCCGCTTCCGGAAGTGACGTCAGCGCGGCGGGAAACGACGCCCCCTCACGCAGCCCCCCGCGATCACGCTCATTCCCATCGACCAATCCGTTCAAGCGCTCTTTATTGACGTCATACGCATGGCCCCGCCCACAACGCGCGCCTCATTCGCACGGCATCACGCACAGAGCAGCCAATCAGCAGCGCGGAGGAGCGTGGCTCCGCCCCTCCTTCGATACACGCCACGCCCATTCCCACGCTGGGTCCTAATGCGCCCCCCCCGCAACGTGGGACCCTCAAACCCCACCCCCCATAACTGCCCCCCAATGGCCCCACAACTGCCCCCCAAGTGCCTCCTGCTGCCCCATAACTGCCCCAATGACCTTATATCTGCCCCCTAAGTGCCTCCTGCTCCCCCTTAACTGCCCCAATGGCCCTGCAACTGCCCCAATGACCCCATAACTGCCCCAATGACTCCATAACTGCCCCCCAACTACCCCAATGACCCCATCTCTGTCCCCCAAGTGCCTCCTGCCGCCCTATAACTGCCCCAATGACCCCATAACTACACCATAACTGCCCCAATGACCCCATAACTGCCCCCAATGGCCCCACAACTGCTCCTAAGTGCTTCCTGCTGCCCTATAACTGCCCCCAATGACCCCCCAACTGCCCCACAGCTGCCCCCCAAGTGCCCCATCAGAAGTCCCAGATGTTGAGGGCCCCCCGGGCCCGCCCCAGCCCCACCACCCTCTTCCGCAAGCTCCGCCCCCCGGCCCCCACCACCTCCACCTCCACCCCTGCCTGGGGGTCCACGGCCCCACGGGCCCTGCGGCCGCGCTCCCCATTGACCCCAGCCCCATAACCCCCATCAGCCCCATAACCATCACCCTTATGGCCCTTAGCCCTACAACTACAGCCTCTCTGAGCCCCATAGCCCCCATTACTCCCATTATCCCCATTGCCCCCAATAGCCCCATAACCATCACTCCTATGGCCCTTAGCCCTACAACTACAGCCTCCCTCAGCCCCATAGCCCCCATCAGCCCCATTACCCCCATTGCCCCCATTATCCCCATCAGCCCCATAACCATCACCAGCCCCATAGCCCCCATTGCCCCCATTATCCCCATCAGCCCCATAGCCCCCCATCATCACCCCCCCACAGCGCCCCCACGACCTCCTCCATCGCCCTCTTCCCTAGGGCCACTCTGGGCCTCCCGCTCTGCAGCGCCCCCTGCAGGACGCACGCCTTGCACAGCCCTTGGCTGGCCGCGAACCCGCACCTGGCGCATGCGCGCAGGGCCTTCCTGGGTCCTCCAGCCGAGTCCTCCACCGCTAGGCGGCGCCCGGAGTGCCCGAGCGCGGCCACGCAGGCCGAGCGCGCCGCCTCCAAGGCCTTGAGCAAGGCCCGTGCGTGGGCGCGGAAGGCGTGCGCCGCGTGCACGCACTCGGTGCTGACGTAAGGCAGGCGCCGGAAGTGGGCGTAGAGCACGATCTCCTTCTCGCATGCGTGGCGCAAGGGCTTGCAGCGGGGAACCGGAGGCCACGGGGCGCGGGGGATCATGGGAGAGGGGCGACGGTGGAGAGGGGGGGGCTTGGATGGGGCTGGGGTGGCCGCTGCGGGGCCGGAAAGGGTCTTTGTGGGACCGGAAGTGGCTGCTATAAGGCCGGAAGGGGTTTTAACGGCGCCGGAAGTGGATTCTATGGGGCCGGAAGGGGGCTCTCTAGGGACGGAAGTGGATTCTATGGGGCCGGAAGAGGTCTCTGTGGGGCCGGAAGAGGTCTCTTTGCGGCCGGAAGTGGTCTTTATGGGGCCTGAAGGGGTTTCTATGGGGCCGGAACTGGTTTCTATGGGGCTTGAAGTGGCTGCTACAGGGCCTGAAGTGGTTTCTATGGGGCCTGGGGTGGCCATTGCGGTGCCTGAAGGGAAGTGTGGGGGGCCGGAAGGGGTCTCTGTGGGACCGGAAGTGGATTTTATGGGGCCGGAAAGGGATTCAGTGGGGCTGGAAGGGGTCTCTATGGGGACTGAAGGGGTCTCTATGGGGCCATCAGAGGTCTCTATGGGGCCCTCAGAGGTGCCTATGGGGTCCTTGGTGCTGTCCATGGGGCTCCTGGAGGTCTCTTTGGGGTCTTTGTGGGTCTCCATAGGGTGCTTGGTGGTGTCCATGGGGCTCTTGGTGCTCCTGGAGGTCTCTATGGGCCTCTCCGTGGTCTTGATGGGGCTCTCCATGGGCCTCTCCATGGGCCTCTTCATAGGGTTCTCCATGGGTCTCGCTATGGGTCCCTCCATGGTCTCTATGGGTTCCTCTATAGGTCCCTCTATGGGGCTGTCCATGGTCTCTATGGGGCTCTCCATGGTCTCTATGGGGCCGTCCATGGGGCCGGTGCCGCTCTCCCAGGCCGTTCTCCGCAGCCGCGCCACGTCCCCACGCAGGAAATTCATGAGCAGGGTCTCGGCGATGTCATCGGCGTTGTGCCCTGCGAGACCGGAACCATCCCAGTTAAACCCAGTTAGAACCGGTTCCATCCCAGTTAAACCCAGTTACAACCAGTTATAACCAGTTCCATCCCAGTTAGACCCACTTCCACTGCAGTTACAACCCCTTAGTACCAGTTACAACCACCTCCTCCCCCATCCCCTCCACTCCAGCCCAGTCCAGTCCATTCCCACCCCAGTCCATCCCATTCCCATCCCAGTCTATCCCATTCCCATCCAAGTCCATCACATTCACATCCCAGTCCATCCCAGTCTATCCCAATCCATCCCATTCCCATCCCAATCCATCCCATTTCCAGTCCATCCCATTCCCATCCCAGTCCATCCCAGTATATCCCAGTCCGTCCCATCCTCATCCCCATCCTCGTCCCATCCCCATCCCAATCCCATCCATTCCCATCCCAGTCCATCCCATTCCCTTCCCAGTCCATCCCATTCTTATCCCAGTCCACCCAGTCCATCCCATTCCCATCCCAGTCTATCCCATTCCCATCCCAGTCTATCCCAGTCCATCCCAATCCCATTCCAATCCATCCCAGTCCAACCCATTCCCATCCCAGTCTATCCCATTCCCATCCCAGTCTATCCCAGTCCATCCCAATCCCATTCCAATCCATCCCAGTCCAACCCATTCCCATCCCAGTCTAACCCATCCCCATCCCAGTCCATCCCATTCCCATCCCAATCTATCCCAGTCCATCCCATTCCCACTCCAGTCCATCCCAGTCCACCCCATTCCCATCCCCCCACTCACCCGTAGCGATCCAATCCGCCCCCACCATCCTGGCGGCTCTCTCCAGCGCCTGCCTCCGCAGCACCCCGCAGTAGGTGCACCGGGACCCCGCCCCCAGCCCCTCCCCCACCTCGTCCACCCCCCACCCGAAGAGCTCCCGGTGCGCCAGCACCAGCAGCGGGAGGCGCCCCTCCCCCCGGGCGCGCCGCACCCCCGCCAGCGCCGCCTCGCGGTACCCGGCGATGCCCTCGTCCACCGCCAGCAGCGCCAGGCGCAGGTGGAGGAGGGGCGCCCAGCGCCCCAGGAGGTGGCTCAGGACCGTGGAGTCCTTGCCCCCCGACACGGCCACGGCCACGCGGGAACCGGGGGGGGGGAAGGGAGGGGGGCGGGGCGGGGGTACTGGGGGTACTGGGGGTACTGGTGGGGGTAATGGGGGTAAAGATGGTGCTGATGGGGGTAAAGATGTTGATACTGGTGCTAAAGATGCTCCTGATGATGCTAAAGATGCTGTTGATGATGCTAAAGATGAAGATACTGGTGGTAAAGATGAAGATACTGGTGCTAAAGATGAGGATACTGGTGCTACAGATGCTGATACTGGTGCCAAAGATGCTCCTGATGATGCTGGTACTGATGGTGCTAAGGATGCTCCTGATGATGCTGATGATGGTAAAGATGTTGTTGATGATGCTAAAGATGAAGATACTGGTGGTAAAGATGAAGATACTGGTGGTAAAGATGAAAATACTGGTGCTAAACATGCTGATACTGGTGCTAAAGATGCTGATACTGGTGCTAAAGATGCTCCTGATGATGCTGATGATGCTAAAGATGATGATTTTGGTGCTAAAGATGAAGATAGTGGTGGTAAAGATGCTGGTACTGGTGCTAAAGATGAAGATACTGGTGCTAAACATGCTGATGTTGATGCTGATGATGCTGAAGATGAGGATACTGGTGCTAAAGATGCTGTTAATGGTGCTGATAATGATGCCAATGCGGCTGATCCTGATGATGCTCTTGACGCTGCTGTTGATGCTGTTGGTACTGGTGGTACTGGTGGTACTGGTGCTGTTGGTACTGGTGGTACTGGTGCTGTTGGTCGTACTGGTGGTACTGGTGCTGTTGGTACTGTTGGTGGTACTGGTGCTGTTGGTACTGGAGTTACTGGTGGTACTGGTGCTGTTGGTACTGTTGGTGGTACTGGTGCTGTTGGTACTGGTGTTACTGGTGGTACTGGTGCTGTTGGTACTGGTACTGGTACTGTTGGTACCGGTGGTACTGGTGCTGTTGGTACTGGTGCTACTGGTGCTGTTGGTACTGGTGATACTGGTGTTACTGGTGCTACTGGTGCTGTTGGTACTGGTGATACTGGTGTTACTGGTGGTACTGGTGCTGTTGGTACTGGTGTTACTGGTGGTAGCACGGGGCTGATGGAGCGCAGGAACTCCTCCTCGAAGCACCTCATGAAGCAGCTCCCGCACAGGGGGGTCCCACAGCGGGGACGGAGCAGGGCAGCGGGGAGGGGGCAGAGCCGGCACCGGGGGGGGGCCATGGCTGCAATGGGAGCAAAGGGGCAATGGGGGGGGTTAAAGGGGCTTCTGGCACCCCAAAAACACCCCCATTGATGGCAATGGTGCTTCCCACCCCAAACACCCCCCCATTGATGGCAATGGGGCCTCCCACCCCAAACCCCCCCCATTAATGGCAATGGGGCCCCCCACCCCAACACCCCCCTATTGATGGCAATGGGGCCTCCCACCCCAAACACCCCCCCATTGATGGCAATGGGGCCTCCCACCCCAAACACCCCCCCATTGATGGCAATGGGGCCTCCCACCCCAAACACCCCCCCATTGATGGCAATGGGGCCTCCCACCCCAAACACCCCCTCCATTGATGGCAATGGGGCCTCCCACCCCAAACACCCCCTCCATTGATGGCAATGGGGCCTCCCACCCCAAACACCCCCCCATTGATGGCAATGGGGCCTCCCACCCCAAAAACACCCCCATTGACGGCAATGGGGCCTCCCACCCCAAACCCCACCCCATTGATGGCAATGGGGCCTCCCACCCCAATCCCCCCCCTATGGATGGCAATGGGGCCTCCCACCCCAAACACCCCCCATTGATGGCAATGGGGCCTCATACCCCAAACACCCCCCCCCACAATGACCCCAATGGTCCCTTCCCCCTTCTCCAATGACCCCAATGGTCCCTTCCCCCCCCCAAATGATCCCAATGGTCCCTTCCAGCCCCCCATGGTCCCTTCCCCCTCCCAATGCTCCCATCCCCCCCCCAAAATGCTCCCTCCCCTCCCCCAACCCCCTCAATCCCCATAAATGCCCTCTTCCAACCCCTCCCCCCCCATTTCCCACCCCATTTCCCCCCCATTTCCCCCCCGTTACCGGTAATGGTCCCGTCCGCCGCACCCGCCACGCGCGCCGCTGGGGCCTTTCCCGGCGTGCACCGCGCGGGGCGGAAGGGGCGTGGCCACGCCCGCCGGGGAGCCCGGGAGCCAATCAGAGCGCGAGGGGCGGAGCCAGCGTGATGGTTGGGGGGGATTTAAAGAGATAGGAGCATTAATAGGGAATTAACGGCGACCATTGATTAATGAGGGCTCTCTAATTAATTAATAGCTATTAACTGGTAATGAATAGCCCCATAGGGTAATTAATGGCCCCTAAGAGTAATTAATAGCCATTAATTGGTAATGAATAGCCCCCATGGGGTAATTAATCGCCCCTAAGAGTAATTAATAGCCATTAACTGGTAATGAATACCCCCCTTGGGGTAATTAATGGCCCCTAAGAGTAATTAATAGCCATAAACAGGTAATGAATAGCCCCCATGGGGTAATTAATGGTAGCTAAGGGTAATTAATAGCCATCATGTAGTAACTAATAGCCCCCATGGGGTTATTAATGGCCCCAAGGGTGTTTAATAGCCATCAACTGGTAATTAATAGCCCTAAGTGGCCGCTAACAGCCCCACAATGCAACCCAATGCAAGGGGCGGAGCTTCCCCTCAGGGGGCGGGGCCTTCCCCAAAAAGGGAACTGAGAGGGGAAAAGGGGAAGGGGGGGCGGAGCTTATCCCACGTGATCGCCTTGGCCCCTCCCACTTCCCCATTGTCTCCTAGGGCTGTGTCTGGGTCCGGCGCCATGAGCCCCCCCCCGGCTCTGCTGCTCCTGCTGCTGGGTGAGGCCACGCCCCCTTCCCTAGGCTCCTCCCACCCCATTGGCTCCTCCCTCCCATTGGCCCCGCCCACCCTGGGCAAAAGGAGGCAATGGGGTGGGAGGGGCCAATGGGAGGGAGGGGCTAATGGGGTGGGAGGGGCCAATGGGGTGGGAGGGGGCAATGGGAGGGAGGAGCCAATGGGGTGGGAGGAGCCAATAGGGAGGGAGAGGCCAACGGGGTGTGAGGAGCCAATGGGGAGGGAGGGGGCAATGGGGTGGGAGGGGCCAATGGGGTGGGAGGGGCCAATATGGAGGGAGGGGGCAATGGGTGGGAGGGGCCAATGGGGAGGGAGGGGTCAATGGGGTGGGAGGGGCCAATGGGAGGGAGGAGCCAATGGGGTGGGAGGGGCCAATGGGAGGGAGGAGCCAATTGGGTGGGAGGGGCCAATGGGAGGGAGGAGCCAATGGGGTGGGAGGGGCTAAGGGGTGGGATAGGCCAATGGGGTGGGAGGGGCTAAAGAGGTAGGAGAAGCCAATGGGATGGATGGGCCAATGAGGGGGAGGAGCCAATGGGGAAAGAGGGGCAGAGCTTTCACTGCTGTCATGTGACCACTCCCATTTCCCCCCCCAGGACTGGCCGCTGCAGAGGGAGGTGAAGCCTTGCCCCGCCCCTTTGGTCACGTGCGATCACGTGGGGAGGCGCGGGGCTTCAACACCTTTTTCCCTTGTATCCAATCAGATTGCAGCTCCTGCTTGCCGGGCCCTGGACCAATCGCAGCGCTGGTGGCCGCTGACATCATCATGACCCTGCTCATCGCGGGAGGAGCCTACTGCCTGGGGGGGCGGGGCCGGAGAGGTGGGGGCGTGGCTTGGGAGGGAGTGGGTGGGGGTCAATGGGAAGGGGCGGGGCATGGGTAAGGGGGAGGTGTGACCCGCCTTGACCCCACCCCTTTTCCCCCCTCCCAGATGAGGTCAAGCCCCGCCCCGCCGAGGTGGAGCCGACCTATCAGGTGAGAGACCACGATAAAGGGGGAGGGGAGGAAGTGGGCGGGGCTTTGCCCATATATGGCACAGCTGACTCCGCCCCTGCCCCCTCCAGGAGCTGCAGGGCCAACGCGGTGACGTCTACAGCGAGCTCCAGCGATAGCCCCGCCCCCTGCCCATCCCCCAACAATGCCGTCCCCTCCCTTCCCCCCCAATAAACTTGGGGTTTTTGCCCTAAATTTGTGTGTTTTGCCCTCAATTTGCTCTTTTCCGCCCTCAATTTGCCTTTTTTGCCCTCATTTCGTGTTTTTCGCCCTCAATTTGATCTTTTTCATCATCAATTCACATTTTTCGCCCTCATTTTGCTGGTTTTCGCCCTCAATTTGCTCTTTTTCACCTTCAATTTGCGTTTTTCACCCTCAATTCGCGTTTTTGCCCTCAATTTGCTCTTTTTTGCCCTCAATTTGCTCTTTTTCGCCGTCAATTTGCTCTTTTTTGCTCTCAGTTTGGGTTTTTCACCCTCAATTCACGTTTTTCGCCCTCAATTTGCTCTTTTCCACCCTCAATTTGCTCTTTTTTGCTCTCAATTCATGTTTTTCACCCTCAATTTGCTCTTTTCGCTCTCAATTTGCTCTTTTTTGCTCTCAATTTGGGTTTTTCACCCTCAATTCGCGTTTTTCACCATCAATTTACTCTTTTCCGTGCTAAATTTGTTTTTCACCCTCAATTTGCTCTTTTTCGCCCTCAATTTCCTCTTTTTTGTGCTCAATTTGCTTTTTCGCTCTCAATTTACTCTTTTCCGCCCTAAATTTGCTTTATCTCTCTCAATTCGCGTTTTTTGCCCTCAATTTGCGTTTTTCGCCATCAGTTTGCTCTTTTCCGCACTCAATTTGCTCTTCTTCGCCCTCAATTCGCGTTTTTCACCTTTAATTTGCTCTTTTTCTCCTTCAATTTGCTGGGTTTTGCCCTCAATTTCGTCTTTTTCGCCCCATTTCCGTGTCGCGGCGCGGCGGGCGGGGGGGGTGTGACGTCATCCAGGCGCGCCGGAAGTGCCTCCTCATTTCCGCCTCCCTCCCTCTCTCCTCTTGGCCATCATGGCGGCCGCGCCGGCTCCATCGGCTCCAGCGGCCGGGCCTGGGCCTGGTCCCGGTCCCGGAGCCTCGGCCTCGACCGGAAGCGGTGCCGGGACCGGGAACGGAGCCGTCGGGAGCGGGGGAGCGGGGCCGGGCCCGGCCAAGAGCGGGGAGGAGCGGCTGAAGGAGATGGAGGCCGAGATGGCGCTGTGAGGGAGAGAGGGGCGGGGCTTCGGGGAGCGGGTGCCATGGCAACGGGGGCGGGGCAGGGGGGGGTGTCGGCATGGCAACGGGGAGGGGGCGGGGTGTAAGGGAGAGGGCGGGGCTACAGGGAGGGGTTGGGGAGGTGTGGAGGGGGCCAGTGGGGGGGAAATGGGGGCCAATGGGGGTAATGGGGGGCAATGGAGGCAATGGGGGAATGGGGGGAATGGGGGCAATGGGGAGCAAAGGGGGCAATGGGGGTCAATGGAGGCAATGGGGGGTAATGGGGGCAATGGTGGCAATGGGGGCAATGGGCAATGGGGGGCAATGGGGAGCAGTGGGGATCAATGGGGCAATGGTGGCCAATGGGGAATGGGGGGCAATGGGGAGCAGTGGGGGGCAGTGAGGGCAATGGAGGCAATGGGTGCAATGGGGGTAATGGGCAATGGGGGGCAATGGGGTCAATGGGCGTCAATGGGGAGCAGTGGGGGTCAATGGGAGCAATGGGGTCAATGGGGATCAATGGGGGTCAATGGGCATCAATGGGGTGCAATGGGTGCAATGGGGTCAATGGGCACCCCCCTGACCCCTTCTGTCCCCCCCCAGGTTCGAGCAGGAGGTGCTGGGAGCCCCCACCCCGGCTGCACCCCCCAGCACTGGGGACCCCCCCTCAGCCATGGCCGTGCCCCCCGTGACCCCCATCCTGCGCCCCATCATTGCCACCAACACCTACCAGCAGGTGATGCCCCATAGATCCCCATTGCCCCCTATGGCCCCATAGGCCTCCTATAACCCGCTATGGCCCCATAGCTTCTCCATTATTCCCTACGGCCCCATTGACCCCCCATAGCGCCCTATGGCCTCATAGTCTTCCTATAGCTCCCTATGGCCCCATAGCCTCCCTATAGCTCCTTATGGCCCCATAGCCTCCCTATAGCCCCCTATGGCCCCATAGCCTCCCACATTGCCCCCTATGGTCCCATAGTCCCCTCATTGCCCCATATGGCCCCATAGATTCCCTATAGCCCTCTATGGCCCCATAGCCCCCCATTGCCCCCTATAGCCCCATAGCCTCACTATAGTTCCATAGCCCCCCATGGCCCCATAGCCCCCTATGGCCCCATAGCTTCTATTGCACCATACCCCCCTATGGCCCCATAGTCCCCCTATGGCCCGATACCCCCCTATGGCTCCATAGCCCCCTATGTCCCCATAGCCCCCTATGGCCCCATAGCCCTCTATGTCCCCATACCTCGCTATGGCCCCATAGCCCCCTATGGCCCCATAGCCCCCCATAGCCCCCCCATGTCCTTCCCCATCCTTCCAGGTCCAACAGAGCCTCGAGGCCCGCGCTGCTGCCGCCGCCACTGGGCCCCCCATTGGAGCCCCCCCAGTGCCATTTGTGGGTCCAGGTCGGTGTCATTGCCCCCCATTGATCCCCATTGAACCCCATTGACCCCCATTGACCCCCATTGAGCCCCATTGAGCCCCATTGCCCCCATTGACCCCCATTGCCCCCATTGACCCCCATTGATCCCCATTGACCCCATTGCCCCCATTGACCCCATTGCCCCCATTGCCCCCATTGACCCCATTCCCCCCATTGCCCCCATTACTCCCCATTGACCCCCATTGATCCCCATTGCCCCCATTGACCCCCATTGCCCCCATTGACCCCCATTCAGCTCCATTGCCCCCATTGCCCCCCATTGCCCCCCATTGCCCCCCATTGCCCCATTGACCCCCATTGCCCCCATTGACCCCCATTGCCCCCCATTGCCCCCATTGACCCCCATTGCCCCCATTGCCCCCCATTGCCCCATTGACCCCCATTGCCCCCATTGACCCCATTGCCCCCCATTGCCCCCATTGCCCCCCATTGCCCCCATTGCCCCCATTGCCCCCATTGCCCCCCATTGCCCCCCATTGCCCCCATTGCCCCCCATTGCCCCCCATTGCCCCCCCAAGGCCTTTGGGGTGACCCCCATGTGTCCCCCCCCCCAGCTGTGTCCCCCCAGAGGCCCCCAGTGCTGAGACCGGCGTTCGTGCCCCACGTGCTGCAGCGCTCGGGTAAGGGGGAGATGGGGGGCAATGGGGGGCAATGGGAGTCAATGGGGGTCAATGGGGCTCAATGGGGCTCAATGGGGCTCAATGGGGGTCAATGGGGCTCAATGGGGTCAATGGGAATGGGGGTCAATGGGGCTCAATGGGGGCTCAATGGGGCTCAATGGGGCTCAATGGGGGTCAATGGGGCTCAATGGGGGTCAATGGGGGGTCAATGGGGTCAATGGGGCTCAATGGGGCTCAATGGGGGGCTCAATGGGGGGCGCAATGGGGGTCAATGGGGCTCAATGGGGGTCAATGGGGGCTCAATGGGAAGCTTGGTGGTCAATGGGGCTCAGTGGGGAGGACCTTGGGGGCTCAATGGGGATCAAGGGCGGGTCAATGTGGGTCAATGTGGGGCTCAATGGAGCTCAATGGCGGGTCAATGGAGCTCAATGGGGGGCTCAATGGAGCTCAATGGAGCTCAATGGGGTCTCAATGGAGCTCAATGGGGCTCAATGGGGGGCTCAATGGGGCTCAATGGGGGGGTCAGTGGGGGGGCTCAATGGGTGTCAATGGGGCTCAATGGGGCTCAATGTGGGTCAATGAGCTCAATGGGGCTCAATGGGGCTCAATGGGGCTCAATGGGGGTCACTGTGGGTCTGAGGCCTTGTTCCCCCCCCGCAGGTGCCCCCCGGGCTCTCTCCCTGCGCCCCCCCCCCGGGGCCATGGTGGGGGCTCCCCTGGGGGCCCCCCCCGCCCCCCCACTCCTCATGGCCCCGCCCCTGCAGCGCCCCCCCCCCACCCCGATGCCTCCAATGGGGACCCCCCTGCGGGGCCCTGCTCCTGTGAGTGGGGGTCTATGGGGGGCTATGGGGGCTATGGGGGGCTATGGGGGCTATGGGGGCTATGGGGCTATGGGGTCAATGGGGGTCAATGGGAGGCTATGGGGCTATGGGGGCCTTCACTGGGGCCCACAGTCCCTCCTGGGCTGTGGGTCTGGCAGCGCCTGAGATCAGCTATTACATTGTAAAGTCCTACCACAAAGTCATAAAAGTAGACAAAGCAGAGGCACTGTCAGATGCTGTTTGTTGCATTGGGCTATAGAGCCAGACATTATAATTCCTGTAGGATCAAACAGGCATTGCTTAGAGGAAAAGATACCCCCTACAAGCACAAATATCTTGAAGACAGCAAAGGAAAGCAGAGGCTGACTACACTCACATTTACATAGTTTTCCCACCAGACCCCTGTGCTGTGGAAATTCCCCTGCAATGTCTGTGCATGAAAGCCTCTCTAACCCTGTGTACATAGCACTCCTCTACCTTTCAGGATATGTGCAAGCAGCCTATGACTGGAATTAATTTCCCTGACATTTTGTGGTACAACATGGAGTTTAATCCTCATTTGATGGCACTGCACTCTCTGCCTTTTGCTGCTGCCTGCAGAGCTACAGCTGTGCGAACAGCATCATTTCCCCTGGGATGATCCCACGGGAAGGTGTCACCTCTAACACCTCTAGCGTGTGTTTGCAGCACCCATTGGAGCTGCCTGGGATACTGGGTCCCATAAGTAGCTCTCAGCTTCACAAGGTTTCCTGGCATTCCTTGCACCCAGCAGGTGACCCCAACCCAAGGGCTATGGTCATAGAAATGGTGAATTCAGATTGATTTTTAACGGGGGATGATGGGATTGCTCCGAGTAGGGAAAACAAGGTTTTGATAGTGAAGCTGGCAGCTGTGATGGGAATACCCAAATGGGGCCAGTCATTTCAGTCAGAGAGCCTCACTGAGCTCAGGGCAGTGCCCCAGGATGGAGATGACAGAAGGTCCTGCCATAACCTCCCATGGACACATCCACCCTGGCCATGGCTGACAGCAGGGGGGCTATGAGATGGGACATGACAGCAACAGCCAAAGAAATAGGGGGGTAACGGCACCAGGGAGGCAATTCCACTGTTATTAACACAAACACAGTCATTGCTCTATCTTTGTCTCCCAATGAATCAGAGGAAATTGCCTCATGAACCCTTCGCCTTCCAACTGCTTCAGCTGTGTTTTGTTTCTATAAGATTCAAATATTCTGACTAGATTTCAGCATATTATTATGAGAACAGAAGAGCTACAGAGAAAGTGAAGCTTCAGATGAAGTAGCCAATAAATGCTGCTTTGAATGCACTTGCTTTTTATGTGGAGCTATGATGTCAGGGACAGATATGGCTTTGGAGAAGATGTGTCATTGTGCTACAGATGTGTTTGTGAATACTTAGTGGACAATCTCCTGTAACATTGTAATGGGGAGCTTACCATTATCTGTTAGATTTTTAAGCCTGTCATTTTGATGTGACTGATTTTTCTATTTAATACTACTCCCCAGCTTACAAAAGCAAGAGCACTCTTCTTTGTGTGGCAATCCTATCTGGCCAGATTAGCAAAATGTTTATTTGCATTTTGTAAAAAAAGATTGGGCTTTGTGATGGAATATGTATCAGGCCAAGTGACAAATGTGATGCTTTGATATCAAAATCCCAGAATGGCTCATGATGGAGAGGAGGAGGCACTTCCAAAGCAAAAATCTTTAATTTTGGCACTTTCAAAATGTGGCATTTCATCCCTCTAATTTGTCACGAGCTTTTTGTTTCGAGTATTTCTTTTGATGAAAGCAAGCATGCAAACAAAAAAATCCCCATATTTAGAATTCAATAAACCACTTCATCTGATCCTCTTCATTTTTATGGAAAAGTTCAACATGAACATTCAAGCACTGCATTTCAGACTGTGGGGAAACTGCTCATCCAGGAGTTGCATAGTCTTGATGTACCCAGTGCCAAGAGAAGGTCCTCTAAAAGCTATTGTCATTCATATTGCTCAGTAGGACTGTCCTGATGAGCATGATGGCTCAGCCTGGAAGGCAGGGTACAAGCACAGAGCCAGAAGCTGTGTGTCCTGAAGGCTTTACCAGCCTGATACATGATCTCCACAGGGTCAGCTATGGGGTTTTGTGTAGAGTGTCATAGGGAGAATCACAGAATGATGTGAGTTGGAAGGGATCTTAAAGTTCATTAAGTTCCAACCCACCTGCCACAGGCAGGGACACACACCTTCCACTACACCAGGTTGTTCAAAGCCCCGTCCAACCTGGCCTGGAAAAGTCCATTTGAAATAACTCTCCACCACAGGAAGAGAAGTGGTAAGTCAAGGATAGGAAGGGTGACCAGGCAACCTAGACCAGTTGTATATTAAGGATGAGATCTTGCCCTAGGCACTGATGCTGCTGTTGCATAGAACGAGGCAGGTGAGCTCAGCCTGCATGTTCACAGCTCTCATGCTTCTGATGGGTTTGAAAAGTGCTCATTTCAGTTGTGCTTTTATTAATTCAAATCCCTTATTTTTGCAAGAGAAAAGTTTTCAAAAGCCTTATTCAGAATACACCATAAAATGTCCTTCAAACATTCATTAAAAGGAAGAGTTCAAGGGTGGCAGCCAGTTTTAAGCAGCGTTGGTGCACGGCGGCTTACCTAGGTGAAATGCAGCATGAAGGAAAAATGCAGAGATGAAGAGAAGCCCCAGGCACAGAGAGGGGCCAGGACAGCCCCTGACATGCAGACATTGTGAAAATGGCACTGGCTTGACCCAGAGCAGTCTCTGAGCTTGCCTGTATCCATGCATTGTGATCCACGGCAAATTACAGTTACAAGACTTTAAAGTGGGGAGATGAATGCAGCCCTTGATTAGAGGAAGCAGTGACCAAAACTTCTGGGTGAGACTTGACTTCCAAACCCAAGCAGGAGGGATATGATTATTACCCTTTGTTTGGCACTGCCGAGGCACATCTGCAGTGATGTGTCTGTTTTGGGGCTCCCTATTATGAGATACATAGGTGTACTGGAGAAAAGGGTCACCAAGACATGTAGAGATTGGAGCCTATATGCATAAGAGGAGGCTGAGAAAGCCAGGACTCTTCAGCCTGGAGGAGAAAATGCTCACATACGTCTCATTGCTGCCTGTAGCTGACAAATGAGAAGCTGAGAAGAAATCAGCCAGACTCTTCTCGGAGTTGCACTACACTCGGATAAGGGGCAACTGACACATACTGGAGTATGGGAAGTACCAATTAAATATTAACAAAACTATTTTCAGCATGAAGGTTGTTAAATGCTGGAGTCACAAAGGCTGTAGGAACTCAAGTCTGTGGAGAGATTTAAAATTTGACCAGACAAAGCCTCAATGCACATGATCTAGCTGACCTGCTTTTGCAAAAGGACAGCAGTACAACGATGAGTAGAGTTAATGACATCAGAGATTTCATTAAAGTATGGTGGTGTCATTCAAAGTATGTCATTTAAAGATGTCATTTAAAATATGATGAAGAAGCAAAGGAATCTTAACGTTAATTTGTTACAAGAGAAATGTCAGAATTTTTCATGAAAGGCAGAAATGACAAACTTTTCCGAAGGTAGCTCTCTATGGAGATAAAAATCAAGCAACACAATTAGATTACATGATAATGAGATACTTTCTGCCCCAGCAACAAAAGATGCAGTGTTAGACTGCCACTGGTAAAGCTAAGTGCTTTAAAATCAGATGTAGACAGCGAGCCCAGACCAAAGAGTAGTAAAAGAGAAACCTTTAGGATCTCTCCAGATCACTGGTATTGGTTTTCACAAGTCTTGGATCATAAGTTCCAGAGAACTGAAAAAACTTACCCTGAGAAAAGCATAAGACAAGAATTAAAGATAGTCCTTAATGTGAATTAACACAGAGTTAGGGAGTATGGTTTTTACCAGACCAGCTCAGTGATTTCTTTTAATGAGTTGTAGAAGTTTGATTGACAGAGAGAAATATTGATACCCTATACATGTGCTTCTCTGTAACATTTGAGTTCATTCTGTCAGGCACTTGTATTAAGAAACTAAACTAGGTCAGACTTGTGGATTAAAACTCACTAACCACCTTGTCTCAGACCTATGGTCCTTAGTACACAAGAATTCAAAAGAGATGACCATTGCTGGAGTACCACAGAAACGGTGCTGGCTGGGTCCTCACCTTGTCAGCATCTTCACCATGGATGTTGCTGTGCTGCTCCTGCTTGGTTTTTTGCTACTCAGAAATTGTAGCACTGGGGAAGCCCATCCAAGGGGTGAGGAGCATGTCCCATGGAGTGGTCCCCTGCTCATCTGTGGTGCTCATCTGTGTGCATGTCCATGGACTTTGACAGCTGGCAGACACCACTCTGACTGTGTGGACAGAGACAACTGCATAGCCTGGAGATGACCCATGGGTGCCCCAAAGCTGGCAACCAGGGCACTGAAAGGTTTTGGGCCTCCTGCATTGGTAAAACACCTGTGAAGAGCTGTCTCTGCAGTCAGAGCAGAGGAGCATCGTGCCCAATGGGAATTGGCAGGCAGAGGCGCACAGGGGAAGAGGAGGTTGTGAAGCTCTAGTTCTGCCAAACTAACCTTATTATTTTTCCCTCGTTTCTCTTTTGACATTAAACAGGCTGAGTGGATGAAGGGAAGATACAGACACAATTAACTAGATATTGCAAACAGGAGGGCAAGCTGCTTTTTATGGCTAGTTGATGTTTCAGACACACCACTATACAGAATAATGCAATAACAAAAAACATGCGGTATTTACCCTGGGTTTATTCACTGCAAGTCCTTTGAGAGCTCCTTTTGTTTGTCTTTATTTAATTGGCATGGTCAGATGGACACCAGCAGGTCCAATTAGGCAGATTCCACTGTACATTTTTATTTTTTTCCTCATCAGCATGTAGCATAGAATGTCCAAAATAATTTGTCTGAGTACTAGTAATGAATATAAAGTGCTTATTCCAGCCTGCATACAGTAAGTTTCAGCTGTACAGCATTTTATAGGCAAAGTAAATTGGGTTAATAATGAAATCACTGATGCAATCCTCAGACAGCCTTAGTGGAGAAGAGGGACTATTAGGTGTTACGATGTAAGGTATTTGGTTGTTCAACTTTGGGCCTATCTGAACACAGACAGGCATTATGCTGTCCTTTGTCACTATCTTAAGCTTTGACATTTAAGTGCTAGGTGGAACCTATTTAAGAAAATCTCACCAATGGGACTTGGCTATGCCTTTGATACCAGGTATTTGTTTAAGTGCTTTGTTGAACTGAAGCCTAGTAGATCCTCTTGAAAAGAAAGTGATTTTCAATCTAATAAGGTTATCTTAGTGTGAACATTTTAACTACATCAATCAATATGCCTGTCAGGAGTAAATGACTAATGGGTTTTCTCCTTTCTTTCTTTGTTACCAGAATGACGAATTGACTTTGCCTGTTGCTGAAGATTCTCATCTCCTTAATGCATTGCAGATATGTTTAATGGACGCAAGCTGTCATGGTCTGGCGGTAACCAGTACCAGCCAAAAATATTTCCCCATGGGACTGGGTCATCAGATTCCAGCTCTGCTCTCACAGTGAAAAATATGAAAAGGCTGGACACGGAGTACACTGCTTCTAAAGAGGCCTTCACTAAGCAGAGAATACAAGATTATATTAAGCAGGCTAATCTCACTTGCTTGAACAAAGAGTCAGCTAGGAAAACCAGCACAGAGGTTGCTGGGATGCAGAGCCTGAAGGAGCCTCCTCGTCTTTCTCTGCAGAACAGAGGGACAAGTTTGCTGGAAGACCTCTGGAGACTTTTCAAAGCAAAATAAGCTGCTAGCAGGTATTTTTCAGCAATCTATTAGAGGGAAGGAGAGACAATAAGATGCCTGTACTTGATCTTTTCTACACATTTCTGTTTGCATATGGTTACATATGAGTGCCATGCCTGGGCACCTGAAATGGTGATGGATTTTGAGGAAAACCATGTGCCTGCCCTTCCCTGCCTGCCAGCAAGTGCTGCAGTCATCTGGGCAGCTGGGCTGGTTTGTACCACATTTGGGGCAAAAATAGTGAGTTTCAAGGAGCACCAGCCCTGAATCCCAACCATGGAGAGAGCTCAGCACAAATGCAAGGTGCTAGTCTAGAAAAAAAGGGATTTTACCAGTAATTTAAACAGAAGCAGAGTGAAGCCTGGACAGAGTGTAAACAGAAAAACCCACCCCATCCGTTTTAGGCAGCACTTCTGACTTTCCGAGGTGTTCAGAGTGCAAAGATTTAGTTTTGTCTGGATCAGAGTTGCTCTGGTCATGTAAATGCCAGCAAATTAATATTAAATGATTACGTCTTTTATTAAATATCTCAAGCTATGTTTGCATTTTAAATATATATATTTATATACAACCTGCTTTTAACAATACTTTACAGCTCAGTAAGTAATACAGGAGGCAGAATCCATGGAGAGGAAAACCCTCTAAATCATGGTGTGGGGGGATGACTTTTTTAAGGATGGCAAGAACTTGTCCTATTTTATCTCTGCCTGCCTGCGGTGACACAGCCCATCTCCTCTGTTTGCAAGCCAGGATGTGATTTGTGGCTGTATGGAGGACAGGGTCACAGCCACCCCCCGAGTGGGTGAGCAAGGGACAAGTGGACCCATCAAAAGCCACTAGAAAGGGATCACACAGCAGTCATGGGGAACAGTAGCTGCTTCTTTGCATAGGGAGAGTCTGGCTTTCTGCAACAGCGATTGGATTTCGGGCTGGGTCTCAAGACGGGCAACTTGGCCCTCTCCTAAGTATAAATCAGGCTTCCAGAGGAAAGATTGGACTTTTTCCCTGTTTCTTCTTTGATCATGCATTCCACCTGATACAGCAGAGCCCGCAGCGCAGCCCACCTTGGCACAGCCAGAAATGCACAGTCAGCATGAAAGAGGCAGGCTAACCCCTGAAGTAAAGAGTTACCTGTTTCCTAGAGAATTCATACATTGGTCCTCCTTGGGGCTGACCATCAGAAGTGTTTTCTGCTCACTTTTGCATTTTTCTCAGTGCAAATTTGCCAGCTCCAAAGAATGAGGAAAATCGACTCTTTTTCACATGTAAGATTTATTTTTAAGAGCTTTCCACTTGGAAATCAAGTATTCTTAGCAGGCATACACGTGAGCTGCATCCTTGAGGACAAATATGCCCCGGGAAGAGGCTGAGCATCTGAAACAGCTACAAGTGACTGGAAGCAAATGCATGCAGAAACCTGTCTCAGCGTTATCCCAGACAGCTTGTTTGATTTCCACATTGCAATTTAAAATTCAGATGAAACATGAAGTTTCTTTCAGCCTGTTTTAAGTAGAGGGCTAGTATTTAGACGCAAGTAGATTTACCAAGGAAAATCAAATATGGGAATGCCTCTTTAGGGGCCTAGAGTAAACAGTTAATATATCGTCAAGAATTTGTATGCTACAATGATTCATGGGCCTTCTCTGGCCTTTTGCAATCTCTTTTTATGGCGTTTTGTCTTTCGTAAGAGTGGTTCATGCAATCTGAGCAGCAACCTTCATTTTGGTCCTTTCTCTGGCTCCCTGCTCCCTGTCACAGCCATGCCTCTTCTATTTTCTGTGTCTCCTACTTTTCTACATTTTCTTTCCCCTCATCTCCTCTGTCTCCCCAAATGTCTCCATGTCCACCCTCTTTCCCTAGACCTCTGCATGCCCACAGATGCCTTTCCTCTCTCCCACCACCTTCTGCATATGCCTGCCCTGAATCTCTCCCTGTGTCCTCTCTGCTCTTTTAGAAATAACACCTCTTGGGATGTAGGCACTAAGGTAGGCTGCATAAGTGCATTATCTGATAGCGCATTTCCGCTGAGCTGATATGTACAATTAACCCAGGAGATGGGGGCTGTAACAGCCCTCAGCTCTGCTGAGCTCTGCATGCAGAGGGAAACTTGCAGCCTGTGGCTACTGAATTAATGCAGACCTGGAGGAGAAGGGTTCTGCTCTGACAGCAAACCATTCAGGGCACTTCGACTGCCTGTGTGAGGTGTTCAGGCAAAAATTACCAGTGTCCTCCCTGTTCTTGTAGCATCATGACCTTCGCACAGAGGGGCAACCTCAGTTCACTACCCTCCATTGCCCCTGTGCAGCTACACCAGCATGAGCAGAGAACGTGAAATACCCATGGGAATATGGCCTCCCAAAGAGCCAGTAAAGGCAGGAGACCCAAGCTGCTTACAGATGAAACCCGAATGGAATGGCAAAGTAAATTAGCTTGTAACTCTTGTCTCTTCCTCTGCAAAGCCTGCCTCGGTCTTCAGCAACTTTTTTACGGCTCCTTTTTTTGGGAGCTTTTTCTTTGCTTGCACGCAATTTATTATACCATTAAAACTGATGGGGAAAAATGTTCCTCGTTAAGGTGGGAAGGCTTTATCTGAA